TCATTATCGCGGTGGCAGGTGTATGTATGGGATCCAGCATTTAGCTGAGTCCGATTTTTATTCCACCGGGGTTGTGAGCCCTGAGGGTATGGATGGTGAAATGATGATAATGAGGGGTGAAGGACGACACTCATACATACACAAATACACCCATGCCCGCAGCAGAACTCAAACCCGCGGTCTTCTGGTCCGAAACCACTAGGGCACTACTGCCTTAGCGATCTCGGCCATCTGATCGGCATAATATATATTTATATATTTTAATAGTAATATTTTAGTTCTTACATTAAGAATCTGAAAAATTGAGAAAAGTGTTTAAAAATTGTACTTTGGATGGCGATGGATTGGCCACTTCTAAGAGGATGGGACACAAGCAAAAAGCTAGCCCAGACCAAAGATATTAGAAAACTAACTAGTACGAGAGTGTGTGCTATTCTGTAGCACCACTACTTTCGCGTTGGTAGCAAAATAGAAACACACTTTGGCTCTACTACCACAAGCAAAAGGAGAGATCAACAACTAAACAGTTTGGGGTAACATTGTGATAACCCTAAATTTTGTAATTTTAAGCCAGGGCAAAAAGAAAGTTTGCATAAATCTAGACATGTTTCAGGTGTGTGTATGTACTTATGCCTATTTTCTAATCTCATGTTGTAGTCTTAAACAAGTTTTACAGCATTTGAATCTATGTTTTTTAAATTTGGGAAATTCAAATATATTTTATTTTAGATGTGTTTTTGATTTGTGGATTATGATTATGTTGCCCCAAACTTTGAGGATATGTCTTTGAATTGATGAATTAAAAATTGTTAGAGTTGGTTAACATAATTTAATTTACACACTGAACTTATGTTCCAAGGCCATAATATTCCAGTGTTTATTTTGGCCTGCACAATTATCAGAGGAAATGACTAGATTTGTAGCTTTCATTTTTCATTATTGTTTGTATTTCATAATTTACCTGGCAATTCCATCTCTTCCTCTCAGTGCAACAGATTTTATGTAAATATCTTTTTATTGAAAAAGCTTCAACATATCCCATGAAGTACTGGTTTTGTTTACCAAAATCTGCGAATTCCCCAAATACTTTCATTATTTTTTCTAAAGTCAATTTTTTTTACTGCGTTCAGAAGGTGACTTAGAACTTTGTTTTAGTTTTATTTGCCACCTTAATTTCTTCTTAGCTTAGCTTCCTTCTCTATGATTTTATTTGCCTTTGCCTTTTTAGCAGTTATCTTCTGACGAGATGGATGAAGTGATCTACTGATAGAAGGGGTTGTTGACAACTAAAGTGCCTCAACTTGTAAAAGAATAAAATCAGAAATATTGGCAATATATGATAATATTTATTTTTAGCTAAACTGTAGAGACCCATCAATAAACATAAGTTGACTTTTTTCAACCAACATCAACAATGAACATTTTTCAGATTATATCATAGTTAATCAAAAATATAAATATGTTAAAGATTCATTTTATGTTATTTTTGAAGCAACATAATAATATCCCTCATCTACTTGTTCTGATAAATTTTCACTGCTGTATTGAAAAAAATACAGATCATCCTTACTGAAATTTTTCTTTTCCCCCTATGTTACATACAGTTTTTACTGCTTTTTTGACTGAATAAATCTAAAAATCTAAATCATCAGATGTGTCCATACAGAGATAAATCTCTTTTGACAACTTGTAGCTTCCTGAATCCGAGCATCTGGCCATCAAGGGATATGATTATGCTGTCTCTAAATATTTCAAGCACAATGTGTTGACAATTTCTACAAATATTGATAGCAATGGAACAGAATACACCAGAGTTTACAGTAGTTCACATTAGGAGTTGTCCATTAATTACATAACGTTAAAGGGGGGGGTACGTGACGCAACGTTTCGCTGCGTAACATAGGGGTAGGGGTATTAATTTATTATTGTTATGCTACATAACATTTATATATATATATTTTAAATTTTTCAACGCTTGCTGAAAAAATTCCGTTTTAGAGTATTATGCTAAAACATAAAATATTAACTAATTATTTAGTTTGAAAGAATTGATATGTGCTGACGGGGTGGAAAACGTCTCTGGACTGTTCCTCCACAGCAGCGTTTGACATCGGCGGAGAAATGTGAGAGCTGCTTTCTTCCCGAGCACAAGGGCCGGGTGGGAGGGGCAGACGGCGGTCACCGATAACGAAAACCTGTGGGCCTTTGCCGATGTTTTAGGGAACATGAGCGTGAGACCATCTACAGCCGTTAATTTTCTTTCGGTTTGGGAATAATGGTTTCCTTTTGTAGATACCGTAATAATGGGGAAGTGTTTAGTGTATTCGAAATAACTTCAGTATGTTAAAAAGTTCAACCGACAGGCATTACGCAGGTGAGAGAAAACCGCGAGATGAAAATAATTTTTGAGAATCTACAGATAGCCTGCAATCTTATAATGGGAAAAGAATTTTCAAGATTATGGAATTATCACGAGGATTTACCACAATCTCTAACAAAACTGTTCTGTATAAATAATCAAGCCTGGAGTTCAAATTCTACGTGACCCCTCCCGGGTATGTATTTGTATCTATTTGTTGGCATAACCTACACAGCCACACAAAATAAAAAGTGTTCAGACTCAAAGACTTCATGCATGCTTCTTCATGTATGTTGACGCGCTGGAGCCAGAATTGCGCCACAACCTTCCAGTTCTTTTAAATCGCGAAAAACCGCCGCGAAATGGTAAAGTGTAAATTTCATTGCTTTTTTTCGCAATAAAAAAACTGGACGTCGGTAGCATAATTTCGGATTAAGCACTTTGACATACATAAAGAAACATGTGTCAAGTCTTGGCTCTGACAATAACCCCCGAAAACAAATGCAATGTCACGGTGTTTCGTTTTTTTAAAATAAAAAAAAACTGAGGGTGTTGGCGCAATTTTAGTTTCAGATTCGGATTCAGTCTCAGGGTTCTTCAATTCAGTCTTTTGGTTTTTTTTTTTTTTTTTTT